AATCTTAGCTTGATTTGTAGTATTTGATCACAATTGCATTGCTTGTCACAAGTCATAACATTTCAATTGCTTTCCTAACATGACCCCATTGGCTAAGCTATTGCTCCTAAAGCTTGTTATAGTTTGAGTCACTTGCATTGAACTCTCTGATGATATCTTTCAACCCTATCGTAAGGTCCCAGAATCTCTGCCTAAGCAGGCTATCATTCATCTCTAGACCTCATATCTGATAACTAGTACTATCAAGATTATCTATCACTACCCTAGATGTGTGCAATAGTAAACTGATTTGTTCAATCATTTTTGCCTTGTGAAATAATACTGTAGTTCAACTGATTTATTATTTAGCCAGGCTTATAACCTGATAGAAGATTACTTCTAATATTCACAATCATACATAGTAGTTCAGTAGTTAGTTGGAGATTATTGGTTGGTCCATGGAATTGCCTTGTCTCATTGCTATATTCATTGTCTCATCTGTACTTCTAAATTATTACCAGCTATAGTTTATTTATACTACATGAAATTCTATATTGATAACCCTATGCATCTTTGATGCCAAGATAAATACAAGTCCCACACATTATGTGCAAACTTTTGTATTACCTAATAGTATGCTAAATACTCCCTTATATATTATACTAATCACTACCTAGATATATCTCAACTCTAACATTCTACTCATAAGATTATCATACCATCACTATCCTGTCTGACATTACAGCCTAATGTTAAATGATCTTTACCAGTCAATTTCAGCTGACTTTGAAAACAGATATCTCAATGCCTTGATATCTGCTTGTGACTATCAGACATGGTCCCAAATCCCCTTGACATCAACCTTGAAATGATGTCTCTTACAGCCACCTGACTATAGTCTCTGTAAAGGTATAGCCTGCTATAAAAATGGTCTTTACTGATAGATTTCTGCTAACATTGAAGACAAATGTCTCAATTCCCTAATGTCTACCTGACATGTTCCTTAATTCCCTTGATGTTAGCTTTGTAAGGATTCCTCTTACATTGTACAGACATCAGTCCCTATCAAGTTACAGACTATTATGGAACTATTACATGTCTATCAAAGTAATACTCATGCTAAATGTGTTTTTCTCTTTTATGTTAGTCATAAATTTATATAGAATTTATTAAATTGAAGTGGTTTTAAAAGAAGCTTTGTGACCTAAGTCCTATATATATGTATTACACTACTGGTATGTTGGTGTTATAAGTTTTGAATTTTAGGCTCTTCCCTCAGATATTATAATATGCTAGCTCTGTATTAGATACAATCATGATATAAGTGCTTAGGACCAGCCATCCTCAGGATATAATAGCTGAGGATCAGACATCTTCAGGATGCAACCACTGAATACGAGGTATTGTTGGGATATACTAGGTATAGTGCTCATTGTCTGGATACAGTCAGGATGCACTGCATATACAACTTAACATCACAATATGACATCACTTTAACATTGCATCCTGGTTAAGGGTTTACATTCTAGGAGTCTAGGCCATATCATGTGCACCAGATACACAGGATGCACAAGATACAAGAAATTATTTTTACTGATGTATTTGATTCGATATTCAGTTGTCAAGATATTTAGGATGTAGCTGACTGGAGTTTTTTACAAATCTAGTTGATAAAATGCTTATACAAAACTGAATTATTCTCATTTTATAGACCAGATTTTCCTGCAATAACTTTAGCTACTATAGTTGACCAACTACTCATTGTATACATATGAACATCAATGTGGGTAAGCAATTATTCTGGCTATTGTGATTGAAACTACCTATTTTTACTGCATTATTCATGTATATTGCTTACAATTTCAAAATAATATCTTTTTTTAATTTTTTTTCCTGAATAATATACTTATTGTTTATTCTAGTTATATTATTGAACTGACTCTGAAAAGTAGAAAGGCAGTTTTATGATTCATATTTTTGGTGGTGACCCACAAGAAAATTGGGTGACTTATTAATAGAGGTTGATCTATAACCCCTCAGATATATCAGAGCCTCTTATACCAAGGTTTCAATACTATCTGTACTTCCTATTACCTTCTGACATACAAGATTACCTATAGGCTATAGCAGAATATACTGAGTTATCACAGGTGAGCTAGAACAGAGATACAGTCCTGGAGGACTAGAGATGGATGATGGTACATCCTGAAGGACAATGTATCCCAAAGCTTATTTGTCAAGTATTGGGCCTTTTCCCACAACACTAAATTCTCATTGACCACCTCATCAATAGGTATTACAGATTGACATGACCAAATCCAAGAGACTAGACTTAGAAGAGGTTGGAACTAATATCATAACCTCAATAGTAAGGGGACTATTTAGTAAGATATTATGTCAGGTGAATAATAAGCTGAGCTTGACTCATAAGGTAGGAGTTATGCAAAGTAGATTAAGGATTTTGAACTATAACTTAGAAGTTAGGAGTTATAGGTTTTCATATGATGAGATACTTGTAAGTTATAGGTATTATTATTAGCATGTTTATTGTTTGGATAACTCATAATTGTAAGTTATATAATGTTCTATATGGTTTGGTTTGATTCATGCATGATGATATGATTCATAGTGATGACTTATATAGTAGGGTGCACATATGACTTGATCTGAGTCATAAGGGATTCTATATAATTCATAATTGCAAGATCATATGATTGGTTAGATTTGGCTGATGAAAGGCCTAAGGGTTCAGTAAAGTATATATCAGCAGGGAGTTTCCCCACAACTTGAGAGATCTTTATGTAACTATCTAGGTAATATATTTATTTATATATTCTATTACCTTTCTCTCATAAATACCTAAAGTACCTGAAGTGAGAATAAAGACTATACCAAGTAGGTCCTATCAAGCATTACAAGCCTTGCAATATGATGATGATGATGATGATGATGTTTGCCAGATAGTAATGTATACTCAATAGAGTATAAGATTTGATATGGAATGAAGCTATATCATTGCCAGTTGTGTGATATAGATAGTGTTGAGGTTGATGAATAGAGTGAGTCCCTTACAGTAGGACTATTAGTAGCCTAACCTACTGGTAATACTGATCAAAGGTTTACACTCAATTAGCTAGATCCAGTATGCCTAATTCTTCACATAATATTAATTAAAAGAATAACAAAGCCTGACACTGATGCAATAGTAAAGACATAAAATAATAACTTTATAGTATAAGATAACCTTACCAATATCCTATAATTCCCCTATAGTGGAGATATAACAAATCCCAATTTTTTATATGAAGATGGGTAGTCATATGAGTCTAAATATATGCCAAACCCCTAGAGCCCTTTCATATCTTTATACATAAGACTTATAAACAGTCTTCATGGCTAGATGCTACCTATCACATGTATAGAAAGATCTACCAACTCATTAGGTCTCATATTTCTCTTCCAGTACATGTATTCCTCAAAGTCTGCTTGCTTAGTCTACTTGTCTTTCCTATTTGATACTATATTTACCCTCTTATTTAATGCTACAATAATATGCTGATGTCCTGAAGGCACTGTTTGTCAAAAAGAGCAGTATCCAAATGTTGACAATAGAAGATCAATTAGTATACCTGTCAACTCTTCACCATTCTGCAAATTTACTTTGTATACAAAGGTACATATTTTATCATAGTCTATTAACCCATTCTTAAAAAGGCAAATGTCTGTAATAATATCATTCATATAGGCAATCACATTTCCTGCCTAGATGGCTAAAGGAATACCTCTTTTAGCTAAGTTCTCCTTTTGACAGAAGATAGTAAAGATTCTAACATTAATACTAATAGCATTATTCTATAATGAACAGAGTATTGTTAACTCTTGCCTTTGCTGCTCTGCTTTTTTCCTTTGCTACTCTGTATCCTTACTTTACTCTTCTGCTTCCTTGCTTACCTATCTTGTTTTCTTGCTTAAGCTTTGCACAATAGTTTCTATCTATCAAAAGGATTGTAGAACTATTCTGGTCTCTTCATTTACATATACCATCTGTGGTTTGTTATATGACCCTACTTGCACTCAAAATCTTGATGGAATTGCTTCCATCAAACACATCTTAACTATTATCAACTCTTTCATTTAATCAATATCACATGGAATATCATATGATAGGAGCCTGGACACTTTTGAAAAGATATCTATCTAGTTAGTAATGAATAGAAAGTTCAAGGATTGAACAAGAGACTAGCATAAAGTCTTCACATATACCAACATGACTTATGACCCACATACCTTTACAAACTGGTCAAAACTGGAAGTTGTATAGGTAACCTCTATATATCAGTCCTTTGTATAGTAACAATATCTTTTTGATTTTATTCTGCCTATATAACCAAGATGCAAAGTCAGTAGGAGTCTTCCTACACTGATACCTGATGGGTCACAAGGATATAGTACTGACAACTAGTGAATGACTGCAAAGGAAGAGAGAATGTTCCCTGATAAGGTCCAGTGGGAGAGTAAAATACCTCCTAAGAAGAAAGAGAGAGCTTTGATAGAGGGGTAGCTTTATTAAGGTAAATTCTGCACAAAGATGATGGGAGATAGGAAGGTTAAAAATATTTTACTATGTTGCTGATGGAGTGTGGGTCCCATACTGGATCTTTGATGAGAATGGGAGTGAGAGGAAAAAAGAGGTAGTACTCTGACACCGAATAAAAGAGTTTTGGTGTTGAAATGTCATGGTTTGATGAAAAGTTAGATGAGTGGAGAGAGTATTCTTCAGAAAATAGATCTTTGATGAGGAAGGAAGAGAGATGAATAAAGAGGGAGAGGAAAAAAGAGGGAGATGAAGACCACGTTTATGGCCTCATGAAGGTCTGGCTGACTAAGTGCTGATATGAGGGTGAGTATGAGTGTAAGCATACTCCTGTCCTGGCTCTAAATATCTCCATTTGCTGATAGCTCAGCACTTTCTAGGTGGACTACATGACCATACTAAAAAGAGTAAAGCATTAGTATTAAATGCTGGCATGGTGTAGTTGGTTATCATACCAGTCTAGCAAACTGGTGGTTGCCCCCAGTTCGAGCCAGAGTGAAATCACCAGTATTCTGCATTCCGGCAGCTCACCTGCTGATACCTTATTTTTTGCTGTTAATACTGAGGGTTTGCGCTGGCTACAGCTCCTTCTTTGCGGAGTTTCGGATTGTTTCTCAGGCTAGGCAGTAGCTATTGAGAATCAACATCGTAGATGGGGGTACTAATGCTCTGGCCTGGGTGAAGGTTGTTGAATGTACGAGATGTACAGTATACGTGAGCGGCCTCATTCCCAATGCATTTGTCCGGACAATCCTGATACATTAGATATAGATGGTGGGACATGGCTATTACAGATATGTATTGGATATCTTAGAAGTAGCTGCTAGTTGAGGACATGAGATGTTAGTGGATTTCATATGTCATTAGCTAGTTTCTCTTATGTTTCTCTTGGTTTCATTTTTCCCTGATGATCTCTATAAAGATCTTATGCTTCCCTTTAGTTATTCACTATCTTCAAAATTCCTGTTCTCCATCATCAGATACTTTGATCAATTCATTCATTCTTTGTTACGCTTTATCTCTTTCATTTCTGCATAGACAGAAACTCAATCACTACTCTATTGTTCTTGGTCATCTGCTGCTACCCACCGAAGTGAGTATATTGAAGGTCAACTACCATTGAACCCCCCAATACTTCACAAAGGTGAGTTCCTTGACACCGCTCCCCTGTTTATAATGTCCTGCTTTACAATGGTACTCTGAGTGAAGCACCTCCCAGGCTAGAGACAGGTTGATACCCGAAGGGAAAGTCAGTTCAAAATATCTTGTCATAAAGGTTTTTGGAATCGCAATCTTCTTACCATACAGCCATCTGATTCCCTTGGCCATTGTTCGTTTTATGCACATGCATTCATACTCCCGTCATCGCATTGTTCTGCTGGTTCGGGCGGAGTTTATAATCGATTGCAGAAATAAGGAAGGGAGTAGGTTGTTTGAATGGTCATGACTGCAGTGGGGGCTCTTTGTTTTTTCTTGCTTATGTTGGATGTTGATGATATCTGGTTCTGGATTTCAGCACATTTCGAGCACACTCTCTACTGGGGTGTGCGGCGTTCTGTGAAGATGCCATGTAATCGTTGCAAATCACCGGCGATCACTCCTCGATCCTAGCTGATTTACAGCTATCGGAAATTGTATAATATACACAAGGACATAGCACATAAGAGATAGGAGCTATGAGGTGATAGGGCATAGTATTTTGGGAAATTAACTTGGGCGATGTTGGGGCATATCACTGAATGTGGTGGATTGTTGTGGAACATTGTGGGAAGTTTGCATGAGTTTCCGGCAGGTTTGTTATTTCGTTAGGTTGTATTTTTCCTTCATTCTGCTGGAATTACGTCTATGGTATCTAGATTTCCTACACTTGTTTTTGCGGAATTAGGCCTTCAATAAACCTCTTTGTCCCCTCTAAAGATACTTTCATATCCGTATCCGTAGCACATAATTTTGCTAATAACATTCAGGATTGAGCTGAGAGGTTATCGATCAGCCAACAACAAATATAACAGAATCAAAAATCAGTGAAGAACACTATCATTACAAAGTTATTCAGGATGCACCCGCGCCGCCCTCCTCTTCCTCAGGCCCATCGGTATACCTAACAGGTCACACGACATACTGCGACAAGACTGATACGATTGCTTCAAGCACGAGTGAAAGCAAGGACATGTAGGTGAAGTGGCAGATTTTGTTGAGAACTGGCCTGCACCTTGCAGGGCATTCCTCAAAAGGCCAGTCAGACAAATGGAATCCTCCGCAAACAAGGGTAAAGGCCATTCCAAGGGGGAATTTATGGTCGAATACAAAGGAAAGACACCGCTTCGCCCATCTTGGTAGCCTGAAGACCATGTGTGGTGGTGCTTGTATAGGCTCCGTTAATATTAGTAAGTTCAATGAATCAAAATTTATTGTGGATGGTGACCTACAATATCAACGTCTATAGGCAACTGAGCTTGCTGGTGAACCGTGGCCACCATGGATGGACCAGCTTGGATCCCTGCGGGTAATAGTATACCTGAATTGTTGTTAGTATAAGATACGTGATTGGAAATAGGGAAACTTTACCAGTATCCGGAGGGGAGAGAGCCCGAACGCCAGCAGCGGACACTGTGGATGACTCAATTCTTGTCGCTGCTGGTATACGTGAATGGTCGTTAGTATTAGGTGTGTACCTGAATATGGGGGATATTTACCAGCATCTGGAGTGGAGAGATGCAGAACCCCCGCAGCAGACACCGCGGGCGACTCAATCCTTGCTGTTAGTGGTATACCTGAACGGTCGTTAGTATTAGAAGTGCACCTGGGTATCGGGGATATTTGCCCGTCTCCGGACTGGAGAGATCCCGAACTCCCAGAGCGGACACCTCGGGTAACTCAATCCTTGTCGCTACTGGTATAGCTCAACGGTCGTTAGTATTGGATATGAACCTAGAAATAGGGAAAATCTACCAGTATCCGGAGGGGAGAGAGCCCGAACGCCAGCAGCGGACACTGTGGATGACTCAATTCTTGTCGCTGCTGGTATACGTGAATGGTCGTTAGTATTAGGTGTGTACCTGAATATGGGGGATATTTACCAGCATCTGGAGTGGAGAGATGCAGAACCCCCGCAGCAGACACCGCGGGCGACTCAATGCTTGCTGTTAGTGGTATACCTGAACGGTCGTTAGTATTAGAAGTGCACCTGGGTATCGGGGATATTTGCCCGTCTCCGGAGTGGAGAGACCCCGAACTCCCAGAGCGGACACCTCAGCTGACTCAATCCTTGTCGCTACTGGGATAGCTCCACGGTCGTTAGTATAGGATATGAACCTAGATATGAGGGATATCTACCAGTATCCGGAGTGGAGAGAGCCCGAACGACAGCAGCAGACACTGTGGGTGACTCAATCCTTGTCACTGCTGGTATACGTGAATGGTTGTTAGCTAGTATTAGATGTGTACCTGGATATGGGGGATATTTACCAGCATCTGGAGTGGAGAGATGTAGAACCCCCGCAGCGGGCACTGCGGGTGACTCAATACTTGTTGTTATTGCTATACCTGAACGGTCGTTAGTATTGGAAGTGCACCTGGGTATGGGGGATGTTTGCCAGTCTCCGGACTGGAGAGATCCCGAACTCCCAGAGCGGACACCTCGGGCAACTCAATCCTTGTCGCTACTGGTATAGCTCAACGGTCGTTAGTATTGGATATGAACCTAGATATGGGGGATATCTACCAGTATCCGGAGTGGAGAGAGCCCGAACGCCAGCAGCGGACTCTATGGGTGACTCAATCCTTGTCACTGCTGGTATACGTGAATGGTTGTTAGCTAGTATTAGATGTGTACCTGGATATGGGGGATATTTACCAGCATCTGGAGTGGAGAGATGCAGAACCCCCGCAGCAGACACCGCGGGTGACTCAATGCTTGCTGTTATTGGTATACCTGAACGGTCGTTAGTATTAGAAGTGCACCTGGGTATGGGGGATATTTGCCCGTCTCCGGAGTGGAGAGACCCCGAACTCCCAGAGCGGACACCTCAGCTGACTCAATCCTTGTCGCTACTGGTATAGCTCAACGGTCATTAGTATAGGATATGTACCTAGATATAAGGGATATCCACCAGTATCCGGAGTGGAGATATTCCGAACCCCCACAGTGGACACCACGGGTGACTCAATCCTTGTCGCTACTGGTATATCCGAACGGTCATTAGTATAAGATATGTGCCTGCAAATAAGGAATATTTACCACCATGTTCGGATGAGAGATCTTGTGCATGCACGCCGGCCCCTGTGGGCGTGTCAATCCTAGTAGGTAACGGTACCCCTGAACGGTCATTAGTAGAAGGTTCTAATTCAGAAAAGGGGTATACCCACCAGCATTGTAGTATAACTGCATAACACGTGATGATAGGCGAACACATGCTCCATATGTTGGTAAAAACCTTGTCAACCACTCGGTATCGTGACCCTTGAGCAGCATGACCTCACCGGATAGGTCATTCAACATAATGGCAGCCTCGATTGCGGGCCCATGTGGGCCAGCCTGAGTGAAAACCGGCGTTTTTTGCAGCCAAGCGACAACCTCGACTGTGGTGAACTGCATAACTTGTTCAAAGCTAACCAATGCCTGACCTAACCTTGAGTCCGCAGTTGCCGGCACCATCATACCTGGCTGTAATTTGTCGGATATTTCTGACTGTCCAGTGGTGTGTGCTTGGTCTGCCATTAGGTCGTGGGTATGATGAAGGTAAGAAAATATAAGCTGGTGGGAGTGGAAAATTAGAAAGGAGGGGGGATGATCTAAAGTTATGACAAGTGACAGGTCTGAGGTTAAGGGAGGGTGGGGTTGTTTGCTTGCTTATCTGAACAGAACACCTGGGGACGCGTCATGCCATACCTTTGGCACGAGCACTCGCACACTGCCACGTCATGGCCTCGTGGGCATTCCCGTCGTATACTCGCGCCATCCCTGTCTTTTCCCTTAATCTCTTTCTCTTGTCAACAAAGTATAACCATACCGTATTCCACACTTCACGCTTGCCTTCTCTACCAGCCCTAATGTGCCGCATTTTCTGGGTATTGTCAAGGGGAAAATCTGTTTTTTGCATTTTTAATCACGTGGTAGTTAGTTTGCTTGAACCGAATCATTATTTGTGAAGGAACTCTATTTAGCTAGAAATTGGAGGGATTACGCGGCCTATGTACATAGACTGGGGGACGCGTCATCGTTTGTTTGCTAGTTTGTTTGTTAGCTTACGCGGCCTATGAGGACAGGCCTATATAAGGGGCTTATCCCCACACCTCACTTAGAAAAGGAAGAACAGGAGGAACCCCACGGAAGAGGTTCAGGAACGCAACAGGAAAGTTGTATTTAGAGGAATTCAGCATAGATAGTTGGACAACTGGGATCAGTTGGACTTTCTTTGGCTTGGATTGGTTTTTCTTTTCGGGTTTGATTGTGGTTTTCAGACTTGTTGTTGGGAGATTAGTTTCTACAGAATTGATTGATG